GAAGTTATTAAAACGCGCTTGAGTGGAAACACTTCTGACAGGCGGTGTCTGAACACGGCGAGGACACTGCGCTCACTCCACGCGGTTCTCACGCTCCGGGAAGTCGTCCCGTGGCCGGGGAAACAGGCCGTCACGGTCCAGGCGGACTTGCTGTGTGGGCCGCGTGTACCCTGCGGACACACGTTCCCATCGCTTAGGAAGAACTCACAGAGGGCTTTCCTCAGATGCCGGCCTCGGTCATTTCAGTGTCTGTCCCCACGGGGCTCTGTCCGGCCGTCAGTTGTCCGGGGGAGGCTGGCGCTGCGGCGCCGACATCACAGCAGAGGTTCCACTCTTACCTCCAGCCCAAAAGTCAGGGATACACACTTGATTCCCTGAACCTCCCAACAGGTCTCCTCTCTCCGTGAAGGGGTGACCCCACGGCAGATGGTGCCGTGACCCTCTTACAACCGCGAGAGCGTGGTGAGGGTCTCCCAGCCCCGGAACGGCCCCGCTGGCCCGGGAAACGCCCGTTCTCCCCACCCCACGCCGCCGCGTCTGGTCCTGCTGTGGGTCCTGGCTGCCGGGGGTCAGGGTCCCACCGGAGACCGACGCTGGGCCGTGTGTCCAACCCAGCCATCCGTCGCAGTGCGAGCAGAGTTCCCAAGGGCTTCCCTTCCCAGCCTGGCGCTGCCCTCGGACACGGCTGAGCACCGTCACCAACGCTTTGCCCCTCGATTCCCTCCCGCCTCCCACGCCTCGTCCCCCCCTAATTCAGCACCAGCCCGCGCGCACCGGGGGAACTCTCAGAAGCACGTCACGAGCAAGCGAAGAGAAACGCGAATCAGAAACGCCGCCGTCTGGACGAGCACCGCCCGCACCCCGGCTGACCCTTCCCGCGCCCCCGCGCGGGGTCCGTTCACGCACAGCCGGTGTCCGTAGGCTCCTCTGTAGCACACTGACTTCTGCAACGGATTTGCCAGGATGGAGCTCGCAGACTCTGCAAACGACCGTTTGAAGCGGCGTCACAGTGACTCAGAACCGTACAGTCCCCACTAACTTCAGGGGCGCTGACTGTCCCCACAGAAGCCCACACCGCCAGCGATGGCTCTCTTCTCCCCAAGCCCAGCCACCGACGGGCTGCTTCCCGTTCAGGGGGGTTCGCCTGCCCTGGACACACCCTGTCAGTGGAGTCGTACGCTGAGGGTTGTCGGTCTGGTTTATTTGACAGAGTGTCCTGTCCTCATGGCTCATCCAGGTTACAGCCGGTGTCAGGCTCCACTCCTGTTCATGGCCGAGTAATATTCCACTGGGTGGGTGGACACGTGTTGTCCATCATTGACTGACGCCGCTGTGGGCTCTGTGCCCACAGCTTGGCACAGACGCGTGCTCCCCATCCTCTCGGGGACGGTTCTGGAGGCTGCGCCTGCCCCGGCCCACCCACACCAGGGTGCTTTCCTGGGAGAGAGAAACACACGTCTGTCTAGCTAAGTCAATCGTATTTGCATTAAAAACTAAATAGCCAAACCTAATCCAGACAAATACGAGATCTATTTATCGATGCCCATAGATCCAGTGTGAATGTTCACTCCTGGTGGAAACATCTGTCTATATGTGAGATAGAAATTACTCTATTTGTGGCAGCTCATGTTATTACTTACAATGTTTTCGTTTTAAAATAAAACCTGAGCACTGGCCAGTTGGGCTCAGCGGTTAGAGAGTCTCAGGTTCATTTCCGGTCAAGGGCACGTACCTCAGCTGCCCGACCCGGGTCGGGGTCGTGGGGGAGGCAGCCAGTCGATGTGTCTCTCACATCAATGTTTCTCTCTCTCCTTCCCTCCTTCCCACTCTATCTGAAGATAAATGAAAAATATCCTTGGGTGAGGATTTTAAAAATAATAGTAATAAAATAAAATGAAACAAAACCTGACCCACGATGAATAATGAATGAAGAATGAGTATCGTCTCAAATAAACGATAATTATGAAAAAGCATTAAATTCCTGCTATGTTCCTGCACCTGCCGCTCTCCTGTCAGCGGAGGACATCAGGCCAAGGAGCCGGATTTCTCCTTAATCGGAGGCTTGTCCGTGCCTGTCACTCACCTTCATGGGACACGGTTTCACTTCTACAGCCTTTGAGGAGCGACTGTGGCCTTGGGACTTGCCCACCTACGCAGAGCAGAGCGAAGAGAGAAAACCACATGGTTCTGTGGGCGACTCGCCTACGTCTGCGGTGCTGGGGTGAGCACGGTGCTGGGGGTGCGAGCGGAGCGGACGGGCGGGCGCCGGGCAACGCGGTCACGCAGGCCCGAGCTGGCAGCGACATGCAGAGGGCGGCGCCGAGTGAGGGGTTCGCCGCGCCCCGACTTCTCCAATCAAGGAAGGAGATGCTCTCAGGTACGAGACCTTCACTCACTCCTGCTAAGTTATCACCAGCACACGAGCAACTCCTTCAGCCGTGAAATCGCACCTGTCACAGTGACTTAACTTCATTAACGCGGCTTCGTGATCCACGGTGAGTCACCGGCGACACGAAGACCACGACTCTGGAGTCCCCGAGACGCCGCGTTCCGCCGGGACCTGAGCCCACTTCTGAGAACGACTGGGAAACGCTGAGAGGGAAGGAGCCAGCCCCACAGACGCGAGGACGCCCACTCCGCCACGCAGTCCACGTGTCCGCACGGCGTGGAGAGAACCCCGGCCGCCCCTTCTCCACGGAGACGAAGTAAGAGAGACGTGAGCTGAGGTTAAGGGCTGAGCACGTGGTGTCAATGAACACGTCGCGTCCAGAGGACCATCGCAACGTCCGTCTGTCTCATTAAAGGGCAGAGCAAGAGGCGGAGCACGGCCCAAAGCTGCAGGGCAAACACTCCCATCAGCCTCTGTCCCCCGCGTGACTCTGCCTGGAGCAGCGCCCTCCCCGCCCCGGCTCCAGTCCCGGGGCTGCTGTGCCCCTCACTCCGGGACCAGGTGCGCCGGAGGCCGCTCAGCCTGTGTCCGCGGGGAGCACACAGGGCACAGACGGGGTCTAACTCGGGAACGTCCTTCAACAGGTGTGCAGGGCGCCCGGGGCCCGATGCTGCTGCAGGGCCTGGGACAGGACAGACGGGGCCCGAGCCCATGGCTGCCCGCTGTCCTGTGAGCGTGGACGCAGGACATGCAGCAGGCCGCCGCCTCGGCACGTGTGTGTCCGTGTGTCTGCGTGAGTGTCTCTGTGTGAGGGTGGATCTGTGTGTCTGTGTGTATCTGTCTGTGGGTATATATGTGTGTATCTGTTTATCTGTAAGTCTGTGTGTCTGTCTGTGTCTGTGTGTGTCTGTCTGTCTGTGAGACTGTGGGTATGTGTGTCTGAATGTATCTTCTGTGTGTCTCTGTGTCTGTGTGTGAGTCTGTGTCTGTGTGTGTACATGTGTGCGTGTATGTCTGTGTATCTGTGTGTGTGTGTATTTTTCTCCATCCCCTGGACCCACACTAGGAAACAGAAAGCGGCATCGGACCCTGGCGAGGGCAGCGCACTCCGCGGGGTGTGCGTCCGGCATCAGGACTGAGGGAGCCGCGGGACACGCCTGCGGGGTCCCAGCCCCAGCCTTTGGTTTCCCTCAGCTCCGCGGACGCCAGGCGTCTGGTCCAGGAGGGAACCGTCCACCGCGGAAGCACCTGCAGCTCCTGTGTCCTGACCGCCCTGGGCCCCGGAGGGGCGGGGCCAATTCTTAGCCCGAAATTCAAAAGCAAAAAAAAGTCAAAGGTTTTCAAATGGGTTGAACCCCTTGGCACTCCACAGATGTTTCAGACAACACGACAGCCACTTCTACTGGTGACAATCCACAGAGCGGACGGCAGGAAAGGGAACAAACCCGCTTCCCCCGAGTCCTCCTCTTCTGCTGGCAATGACAGTGCCCATGTGTGGGTGTGCCTGCCCACGCACCCCCCGCCCTGGTCTCTGCGCACCGCACAGCACAAAGCCCCTCACCGAGTGGCAGTTTCCCAGCCACAGACCAGCCTGTGTGTGGGGGAGCGCGGCGGGGAGCCCCCTGGCACGGCAGAGACACCCACTTCTTTTCCTCCAACTTGCCCTACAAGCGAAGCTCCCAGACAAAGTCCTGCAACACTGGTCCCAAAGGAGAGGCGCCCACCCCAGAGCCTCAGCATTGAGGAGCCAAGTCCCGGGGCAGCCCCGCGGGGCAGGCAGCACAGAGGTGTCCACGTCAGGTCACCCCGCACTGGAGCCTGGCACCTCGGACAGCCCCTGCGGCCCGGTGCCAGCCGCCAGCTGAGACCCGGGTCGTCCGCGGTGGATCATGAACACCAGCTGAGACCCAGGACGCCCGCGGTGGATCATGAACACCAGCTGAGACCCAGGACGCCCGCGGTGGATCATGAACACGTCTCCCAGCACAGAGCCGGGCGGGAGTTCTGCCGTGGACACCAGTGCAGCGCCACGCGCCAGGCCGACTTCGCCCTCACGTCGACTTTCCATCACGCAAAAAGCAAGGAGCAGTCTGGGACTGAACGTGAGCGGAGGGAACTCGGGGGCCATGGAGAGGTTCGGGAAACGGGGTGAAACCAAGGCCCACCCGTCCCGGAGACCCCTGCCCAGCGGTGGATGCTCATTTCTAACCCAGCGAGCGGGAGACGCACGTTCTCCCTGGCGTGATTCGGGGACCCCGTGCCCTCGGACAGGCCGCGCCCGACTACATCACGTCTAAGTCTGCACGCACCGCCGGTGGGCTGACCTCGCACGGGGGCACTTCACCAGAGAGGCCCTAACACGGGGTTAGAGGCCACGGAGAAGCGTGGCATCCTTCGTGGGTGACGCCATCCCCGTGGTCCGTCCTTGCGGGTGACCCGGCCTGCGCTGGGCCCTCCGTGGACGGAGCTGACTGCCCCGGAGGAAGACTTCGCCTCCCTCTCCACCCGGCAGCTTCCACGTCACGGCCGACACACGCCGAAGGCGAAGTGCGGAGACACGGCCGCCGGCCGCCCCGGGGAGCCCCGTCTGACCACGGCGAAGGGGACTCACCTGTTCGCCGAGCCGGCAGACCTCCTGTGACAGACGATGACGGCAGGGACAGACTTGCCGGCGCGGTCCGTGCTCTCCCTGACCTCCCACAGGGCGGGGCTGCTGGCTCGGACCCCCACGATGCGCACGCCTTTCTTCGCCTTCGCCCTGCGGGGGAGACAGGAAGGTACAGCTGAGGCCCCTGGGGCTGCTGCTGGGGACTCGGGACCTGGCTGCACAGGGACCTGGCAGAGTGAGCGCCTGTTCAATGCAACAGAACGCAGGTGCGGTCACCCTCCAGCTCCTCCTCCGGTTCCCCCAGGTGTCCCTCCCGCCGGCCGAGGAGTCACCGATGCGCCGGCCAGCGCTGTGACAGACACAGGTGGTTTCCCCAGGTGTCCCTCCCGCCGGCCGAGGAGTCACCGATGCGCCGGCCAGCGCTGTGACAGACACAGGTGGTTTCCCCAGGTGTCCCTCCCGCTGGCCGAAGAGTCACCGATGCGCCGGCCAGCGCTGTGACAGACAGAGAAGTGCGCAGGGGATGCCTTGGTCCTTCTAAAACACGAACACCTGCAGAGCCCCAGGTTCTTACCACTAACGAGAAGAGGAAAAGGAATAAAAAATGTGAGAGGACACTTAGCAGCAGCACACACTCATGAACGTCTCCTGTCCGCCCGGCGTGGCCAGGACGGTCTCAGTGTTGTCTTGTGTCCTAAGCGGCGTCCCAAGCTCCAAATAAGGGGCCGCAGCTCAGGTAGGTTCTGGAGCAACGGGGCCTCCGGCAGCCACGGCGCCGGGCGGGGAACAGACCCGCCGACGCCCCCGTCACCAGGTCCTGGCGTCACCAAGAGCATGATGGTGAGCGACTCCCGTTTCCAGGGTGACTTCGGGGACTGTTCACGTTTCATCGACTTTTCTTCGTTGAAAAATAACGCAGGCGCATTGCAAATATTCCAGTTACACACGGGGAAACATGCAAGGTCTCTCTGCAGACTTCTCTCCCAGGCTTCTCCCACGAGAGTGCCCGTGGGCTGGGCGACCAACATATTTATTTTATTTTATTTTTTTTATTTTTATCCTCACCCGAGGACATTTTTCCATTTTTTGTTCAGATAAAGCGGGAGGGAGAGAGAGGAAGAGAGAGAGAGAGAGAAACATCAATGTGAAGGGACACAATGAGTGGCTGCCTCCCGCACGACCAACCAGGGCCGGGGACAAACTGCAACCGAGGTACGTGCCCTTAGCGGGAACCGAACCCAGGTCTCTCTGTACCGCAGGCCGATGCTCCAACCGCTGAGCCAAACCGGCCAGGGCCGACCAACATATTTAGACACGCAGATGAAGACATACCAACGGCGACCCGGTGGGCACACTTCCACAGTGTGTGCATGTCTCATGGGTCCGTCTCCACCTCAGCGTTTAAAGGGTCTTGATCCACAAACTACACGCTTCTGCACTGGGGAGGTGAGTCTGAACAGAATCCACCTGACCGGTGCCCGGTGGATGGACAAGTCGGTGGTTTCCAATCTTTGCTATGACAACCCTGCTTCCAAATATTCACACATGCACATGCATATACACACATGCACGGACATGTGTGCACACGTGTGTGCACATACGCACGTACACACACAGAGGTCTACCACACACATTCCTGAAAAAGAAATCGCCAAGTCTAAAGAGACGCCGTGTTCCGTTTGGACACCACCCGCCAGGCTGCCGCCCGAAGAGAGGCCACCGATTGACACCCCGCTGGGCCACGCTGATCCCTGCAGATCCGATCGCCGGAACCACGCTCCACCGCTTACTTCTGAGGGCGCTGCGAACATCTTCTATTCATTCGTCTGTTTTGTTGCTCTTGTATTTACTGTCTACTGGGAAATTGATTTGTAAGGACATTAAGCCCTTGATCCACCAGGGATTATTTTCCGGGGAGAAGGCACAGAAAGAGGCTCCGGTTCTGGTTTCCCCATACGGGTTCTATCAGCGCAATTTTGTAAATAACTCGCCTGCTGCCAGGTGTCTGTGTACAAGGGCGTCTTTAATGTGCACTAAATTCATCTGGTTTTTAGGCTGCTCCTTGGCCTATTCGCTTTTATTGATCTGTCTGCCTTTCCGCGAGCCAATGCCCAAATGCTTTGACGACAATAGCGAGGGTATGTCTTCCTCCCTGGCGGGACTATTTCCCTTCTATTCACCTATTTTATTTTTCCAAGGTTATTGTGATGCGTTTCAACCAGACCCATCTTGGAGAGCACGAGTCAAAGGCAGCCTTTCCGTCCGGAAAGTAAAATGTGCCCCTGAAGCACCCCTTCCTGGGGTGTGAAAAGGGACACACTTTTGATGAAACTAATTACCCACCGTTTCAGCATTGACACCCCCTCTGGTCTTTCCAGAAGATTCCTCTCTGCCCGATCAGGGCTGCACCCACCACAGGCACCGAGACACAGGCTCACCCTGTCCCCACTGTTTCCTTCCTGCGTCCTCTCCCCACGGCCCCTCAGGCCTGCACCCGTGTCCCCAGGGCGGGGTGCGGTCTCCCCTCTTTCCTCGAGCTCCCTGGGGTAACAGCATCCACCGAGCTCATCAGCAGGCCTCCCTCGCGGTGGCTGAAAAGGGAGGGCGAGGTCAGTTTTCAAGATTCTCTTCTGACTCACACAGTGCGGCTCCCACACTGCCTCTCTGGGGACAAGAGGGTCCCACGTGGGGTCAGAACCTGAGTCTCGGACCCCCCCCCCGACATCTGAACCGACGTCCACAGCAGCTCAGCAGCACGGGGCAGCGTGCTCGCCAGTTCTTACGGCTCCCCACACTGGACACCGGTCGCTGTGCAGACCACGTGACCACATCCGCCGCGGAGCCGTCCCTCGGGGAGCCGGTGCCTTCCATGGACTGAGAAGAAAAGTGATTTACCCAGAGATGCAGAAGGTATTTCGAAAACGTATCACCTTCCTCGCTTTTCAAGTGAGAAGACCACTGTTTAAAGGTGGGTGAGAGCAGACGCTTCCTTAGGTCCCGAGTGGACGGTCAGGGAGGAGACAGAAGTGGCTGCCACACGCAGAGGCCCTGCCCTGGCCAGTGGGCTCAGTGGTCAGGGCATCGGCCCTGGAACCGAAGGGTCTCGGGTTCAATCCCCGGTGGGGGCGCCTGCAGAAGCCAAGTAAGCTCACATTGGTGGGGGTGTCTCTCCCTCCCTCCCACTCTGTTAAAAAAATCAATGGAAAAAATGTCCTCGGGTGAGGACTAACAACAACAAAAAGTTATTAAAACATCAAGACATTTACTTCCAAGATTCTGCTCCATAAACATTAGAAAGCCTGGCCGGTGTGGCTCAGTGGTTGAGCGTCGACCCTGCACCAAGAGGTCATCGGTTCAATTCCTGGTCAGGGCACATGCCCAGGTTGTGGGCCCGATCCCCAGTGGGGGGCGTGCAGGAGGTGGCTGATCGATGTTCTCTCTCATGGATGTTTCTCTCTCTCTCCCTCTCCCTTCCTGTCTCTCTAAATTCAATAAAGAAAAAAAAAAAAAAAAAACATGAGCGAGTCATCAGGAGGGCCAAGATTTCTCTCGGACCTCTTCAAACAAATTCCACAGCTCATACTTTGTCTTCGTGGCACATTGAGTGGCAGAAACAGGCAGCTACAGAGACGGATCAGCGTCCGGGTCCCCCACGTGCTCACCGTGGCTGCGTGGATCTGCCCACCTCACACCCCTCCCGAATCAAGGGGAGACAAGGACAACGAACTTGCTGATGACACTGGTTGAAGGGCACAGGTTTTCTGACCACGTTTCCATGGCTCACGGTCCTCTCCGTGGACACTCTGGGTAAAAGTGCGAGAACGCTGGACACAGGCCGAAACCTGCCGGTGAAAGCCGAGGCGACCCACACACTCCGCTTAGTCTCTCCCATCAGACACCAGTTTTCTAGAGCAGACGCACAGAAACCACGGCGCGCACACACAGAAACCACGATGCACACTCACAGAAACCACGATGCACACTCACAGAAACCACGGCGCGCACACAGAAACCACGACGCACACTCACAGAAACCACGACGCACACTCACAGAAACCACGACGCACACTCACAGAAACCACGACGCACACTCACAGAAACCACGGCGCGCGCACACAGAAACCACGGCGCGCGCACACAGAAACCACGACGCACACTCACAGAAACCACGACGCACACTCACAGAAACCACGACGCACACTCACAGAAACCACGACGCGCACTCACAGAAACCACGTACCCCCGAGGGCTGCTGGGGGGCGGGGCAGGGGTGGGGCCGAAGGTGCCGGAACTGTCAATAGCATCACAGTAGCTGTGCAGCGGACAGGTGGTCACTGGCCTCGGCACAGTGATCAACGCCGATCACTACTGCACACGCCAGAAACTAATGTGATCGTGCACGTCAACTTTAATAAGAAACTTTGAAGAAACGAGACAAAACAGCTGCTTCTGTCATAAATACGCGTGGGTTCTGTACCGAGCGAAGTTCAGCAGGGGCCACACGGAGCTCTCCCGTGCCTCTGGCTCCCTTGATCCACGCCCGCTGCCTGGGCTCGGCCCGGGACCACGCCGGCCCAGGGAGAGCGTCCTCTCTGCTCTCACGAGCTCCTCTAACGCACACGCCTGCGGCCGTCCACCCACCGCCCGCGTCCAGGGCCGCAGCGGGCGGGAAACATACCATTGTCCCGGCCACCACTCCTGCCGACACCCGGCCACCTGGCACCGGGCTCAGCACTGGGCTGGGTGGTCCCCGAGACGGTCCATCCGCCCGAATGCCGCCATGGCCCTCTTTACGATGGGACCCGCTCAGGCCTCCCCTCCCGCAGAGCACCTTCCACAGGTGCTTCCCAGACATGGAGGGTGGTCTCGGGAGGACCTCAGTTACTATGCTCCTGTGACAGGCTGCCCTCCTTGTAAGCAGTGGGGAGAAACAATGTTGCAACTTTCCTTGGACTTAGTGTTACAGTTAATGGGCCGATAGGCTCCCTGCTTGCACAGACCCTGAAAGGCACCGGGCAAGAAGGCAGCCCAGCCATGGGACTTTAAATGTAACCAATATGACAAGATGGCATAAACCCAGCTCCGCAGCACACAGCCACGTCTCCGACCTGAGCAGCAACGGGCACACCGGGCGGCCCACCGCCCGCACA